TTGTGACCTTGATCATCAGCGCGACGACCGCCGGCCTGACGATGTGGATTCTCTCCTGGATGTTTTGTTAGGCATGGATCTGACCACTTAAAGCGACCCTAGTCGAAATTGCACTGGAGTGGGTAAGCAATCCATGTGATGACAATACTGCCTTATATTTATTTTTATATTCATGTTTACCCTTTGGAATGGATAAAACGCTTGTTTGCCTTTGTCGCTGGTCTTGTCTGCAGTAATCCAAACATCTGTTAGGTTCATTTAGTCCTTCTCTTTTTCCCTCTTCTCCAAATATAAACGTGTCAAAAGGGAAAACGAGAGAAGGATCAAAACAGACCCTATCTTTGTGCTTAGTTCCTACTTAAGCACCATCCTAGATTTTTTCCCCCTTTATCGTGTCTAATCTCTAACGTGCCAAAATCAAGCAGGGTGTTATTACTGGGAGTTTTCACCAATGTCACGATCCTTTCCGCGAACGAAGCTTCCATTCCTGCAAAATGTCGTGAAGAGGGCTGTGTCCATGCCTCTCACCACGTCTTCCTCGACACCCTTCCGGCCGTATCCGCTTTCCTCTTCACCCGCAACCAAACAGTCGTCTGGATGTACCATTCTCTACTCAAATCCTCAGTGCGTTATTGTGAACGACGCCTTCCCAAAGTCAATGGTGCACTGCCTAGTAATGCCCCTAAACCTCGCATTAACATCGCTGAATGTGCTGAATTCGGAGCATGTGAGTCTTCTTAAGCACATGGAGAAAGCAGCGGTTGAATATGTGCAGTATCTGCGCACTACAGAGGCCTCAAGGCTCGGAAAGCGACGCTTTATCATCGGTTTCCACGCTCTGCCCTCATTACCGATGCTGCACATGCATCTTCTCTCTATGGATCTGGATAGCGCATGCTTGAAAACCAAAAAGCATTACAACAGCTTCACCACTCCTTTTTTCTTGACAGTCGATCGCGTCATCTCGGACCTCGAGCAGAATGGTGAATTCACGCTGAATAAGGATGTCGATATGCTACGGCGGATGGAAGAGCAGAATATGAAGTGCTTGTGGTGCAATAGGGCGCTAGAAAATATTCCACAGATGCGAAATCACATTAAGGAATGCTCACAGAATAAATCACTAATCAACTAGACTCCGTTCACGTATCATAATTTTTTATGGTGCTGGTATAATTATTTTTGATAACTTACGATCTTTTTTACTTTCATGATTGATTTTTGTAGAAAGGAATAAAAAGGATGAAGCATGAAAAGGGTACGGGGTATTGTTGTTTTTCTTCAGAAAGCACTGAGCGATTTCTGCGTGGTAGATTCAAAGCAATGGATTTATCTTCTTTTACGAGGGTAAAGAAAAGTAGAACAAGATCATGATAAAACATATGACGAAACCCAAAATGATAAACATTAAAAAGTGACTCAATACAAGCTTACGCATTTTCCCAAGTCTACCACACTGCTTCAATAATACATGTGGTCGGTTTCTTTTTGCTAGTATTAAATTTAGCTTTCGATCAATAGTAATTTCAGTTCCATTATTACTAGACTGCATTCATGCAGCCCCAGAGCTCTCTGTACCGGCGTCGAGACGCTGGGGTGGGAAGTGACCGGATGAGTTCGTCCCAGGCAATTCCTGAGAGGGGTGAAAATCCTCACCAACATCAATGGAATGTACCCACCAAAACAACTCAAAGACAGGAGCAGGAAAACGACGAACTTGTCAAGGCCTTAATAGCAGATGTGAAGCGGACAAAAACAACCCTCATGAACATTGGTAGTGAAGTCCAACGGCAAAACACGATACTTGATACAATGGAAAAAGCCTTTGGGGATGTCAAAATTTCGCTCAACCGAACTATCAAAAGTCTTGGTAGGATAAGCTGGTCAAGCTTTTCTCATATGTGGGTGCTATTTCTCCTCTTAATAGTGTTTTTCTTTATCATGTATATTTTGCTAAAATTCAGGAAATAATAGCAAGATGAAGCTTGTATAAGGTGTTGTAGCATGGGGTATCCTAATGAAGGGTGCGGTGTTACCTTTTCTCTTTTTTCATCTAGGGAAATGGGGGGACTATTTTAAGCGCCAGGTTATATCGATTTTGGAGTTCTTGCTCTTTGTATAATAGGAAGCGGTTGCCGCTCCATTGAAGATTGCTAACGCAAAATAAAGTGACAATCTGATTTAATAAACAACGATCACCCATTTATTTCTTGCCAAATCAACTCGGTTTGTCTCCTGTTTTGCAAGACTTTATTTTTACCTGCATTTTATCTTTCTATATATCTTTATTCAATTTATATTCATCTCTATGCGTATATCTCAAAGCTTCTAAAAGAAAATTCATAAAGAAAATCAAAATATTACCCAAGTATCCTTCCTTTTATTTTTTCTCGAAGTCATATTTAATAAGATTCCAGTGCTAAAGATCAGCATAGTTTCAATTAATACTTTACTATTTTTTTCAAGGAAGTTTAACCCAGATGTTGTGTGTCGAAAAAGTGAAATGAATGTGCCAATATCACACACAAATTCTTATTCTACCTGCATCTGAACAGTGCGCGGTGTTTCTTCCTGAGGGCGATCTTCTTATTTTCCTCCGTCGCCTACGCAATTTCTGAAGGCACGACAGATCTTACCAAATATTTAGGGTCTTTTCTTATATTGACAAGCACCGCCGAGTCTTTATTGCCTATTTTTGTGTTTTCGTCAGATGCAAAAGGGGATTTCTTGGTCAGATATGCACGGCAACAACTTCCATGTGGCTAAGTGCCTAAACATCATGTAGAGAAGATTTATATTTGTGATAGCCTATGGAGGGTCTTATCTACCGACTTTTCATCAAGAGGTTATGCGAGGGCGACCTCATCACGTTAAAAAGGGTCCGATTCGCCTTGTAAAACGCGATGAGGTCGGCAGCGTTCTGGGGCCCAACGACTCCGGAAAGTTTACCCTCATAAAGTTAATTACCGGTGTGATTGGGCCAACCTCTTGTAGTATATATATATATATATATATATATATATATTAACACGCGTGGCTCCATCCACAAAGATCTGAGGCGTCGCTCGTATTTAACCCCCTGTGCTTATAACATACCATAGAAGCGCACTTGGTGTTCTACGCGCACCTCAGACTGCACACCTTTAGCCTCCAATTTTATCTCCACAAAGCACTTGAAGTAGCTGAATTTGTGGAGAAGCGGCATTACTGGGAAAGAACACTCCTTCTGGTGGGAAATATCGCTAGCTATGCTTCGCCATCGTCCTATTGGCGGACTCGGAAGTGTGACTTCGGGCGATGAGCCTACTACTGAAGTGGATTTTGAGATAGGTAAATTCGCGAACAACGTAATCCGCTGTATTCACCACAACTGCAGTGTTTTTGTCTAAACCCAAATAGTAGAAGATGGAGATCGTATTCTTCTACTAAACTCTGACAAAACCAGCAGACAGGGTAAACCCAAGTTCCTAAAGTCGTGTATGAAAGATGCCTACAAGACGAACGGCGTACTTAAAAATGGCATGAGTATCAAGAAGAAAAAGCACACCATGAATAACATCATCGATTTGTGCATCATAATGACTATCCTGTTGAATGGGGATCCGAGGCGCACAATTTAGAGAATAATATCCAATCAAGAAAAGCGTTCGGAATCGAACGAGATGGGTTCAACTTATGCCTGAACTTACCGTACATTTTCTTCATCCCCTTAGGCTATGAGCTTTTCGAGAAGCTCAAGGAACACAAGGGGACAGTGAAACTGTGTCATATAAACTTGGATCCCCTCATAATGATGTCTTTTGCTTCAACATTTGGAACCAATTCCATGAAATTTCCGACCCACCCATCTGCCAAAAGGATCCACTCGAGTTCAGGGAACACCATGAGAAAAAGTGCTGCCAATATAACTTCGTAAATGTGTTTTTCGCTTTAATCTTTTTACTTTTTCTGAGACGAAGTATTCACGGATACGTTTAAGCAAGCGTGCTCTGCTATTATAGTGCCTTTGATGACTAGATTACTTATTAGTGAACTCCTAGGGGCTGTGGATGGGAGTGTGAATGATCATTTTAATTGCTTCTAATCCTAATATTTCTTCAAAGGGTAATGAAAAAGTAATAGAACCTAATTTATTTCTCTCTTGCGATGGACCCTGCCAAGGTTGAAAAATCGAGCACAGGTCAATGTCATAGCCAAGCCAGAGGTCGCTGCTTACGGGTGTTTTTACCATGGTCTCCTTTGTTTACCCCATTGACCGGTACGGATGTCCGGCTTCGGGATACGCAGTCTGGGGAACTTCACACAGGGGCAAATGGATCCTCCGCACAGGAGACCGACTCCTTGGATCCCAACATCCTTTTGCCCCTCGCCGTCAACCTGACCGGCACCCACCCCTTACCATTATGGCAACGATTGCCAGTTAATCCCTTGTGTACTTTTAAACCGATTTTACCATCGAATCGTCTACAAGGTGGGATTTCATCCGGGGCCGCCAACGCCTCCCAATCCTTCCTTCAACCGCCCTCCAACCACCCCCCCGAGACCTCTTCGCCTTCCTTTCATCAAGGTGAATTGGTTTCCAAATCTAAGCGCGGTTTGCCCGAGAAGGAGGACTTTTTGTACTACTGTGATGCCTGCCAAAAGGGGTTTAAACTGCAGGAAAAATACGACGCGCACATGGAGAACCACATCTATTGCAACGTCCCAGGCTGTGGCTTTACCTGTCGTAAAGACCGTGGATGGAAAATGGAGGAGCATGTGAATATGCTGCACAACCGCCCAAACGCTCCGGATTTGGTAGATAACACGCGCTATCTTGACCAACGCCGCTCGCGCTTTCCTACCCAGGACGCAATTAAACAAAAAGTGGAGGAGCTTTACTACAAGGCGGCCCGAGGGGCGGTCCTGCCGAATGAGCGCCGGCGCTGGATGCAGCAACATGGGGTGCACATTCAGAAGCGATTTCGCTCCGAACACACCTACATCCAGCGCGGTAAGCCCCCGTGGGGGATTAATGAAGACGAGCAACCCCATCCCGTCCGCGATGCCAACGACGACGAACAAGCCAACGCGGGCGTGGCGACCGGGGGAGGTTCTCCTGAGGAAAAAGAACCCGACCCGGCCCTTCCCATCTGCCCTTCTTCTCCCCACACGAACAGCTCACACCGCGCTCGAAGCGGGGATGCCAATCGATCCACGAGCCCCGTGTCCTTCTGCCAGGCCTTATCGGAAAACGGCTCGTCTTCGGATCATTCCACCCGGTCTTCCTTACGACGGGCGGGTGAAATTAACCCTACCGAAGCGCATCCCCCCGCGGCGCCGCTCAGCGGTGATGGCGATAATCAAAAGGCGTCGTGCGCAGTCCCGCCTCCCCTTTTCCATCACCAATCCAAACTTATTCAGCGGGTGGAGCGGCAGCGGGAAAATGGGCAGGTACCGCGCTACTACGTTTGCAATCGATGTGGTGTCAAAGGAAGCCACTGGCTGAGCGACTGCCCCACCAAAGGAAACCCCCTTTACAATCGTCATATGGTCTGGGGCGAGCCAAAGCTATCGAAGCCCGACGCCGGCACGTCCCCCGCCCTCAATAGTGCAAACCCCTTCGCTAACGCCAAGGGAGAGGTCCCACCCGGGCTCGGTTCTTCTCCAGCTGAGGAGCCGCCTCAAGTCGGGGAGGAGGGGGCGGACGCCAAAGGGGATTTTCAGACGGCGGATGACAGCCCTTCGCTGCGGCCTGGCGCCGCTCCGATTCCGCGCTCGGTCGCCCACGGGGACTCTTTGAGGGACACCAATCGTGGCTTCGAGGACGAGGCGGAGTTTGATGCCCTGCCACCGCCTGAGGTCACGGCACGGGCTGGGCCTACCCCGGTCGAACGTTGCCAAGCAAAGAAGAGTGGGAAATTCGGCCCCAACGATGACGGGGCGGCCACCAAGGATGTCAGCAGAATGCTTGCACCTGTAGCCGCCAAGAAGTTTCTGCAAGCCCGAATGCAGGACAAGGAGCGGAAGGGTAGAGGTAAGCCAAGTGATTTGAGAGAGCGTGAGACATCGAAAGAGCCGACGCTCTATGAGCGTCTCACCGAGGAAGATCGACTAAATGAAAAGGGACTCCTACTACAAGCCATTCGATTCTTTGTTGCTCGAGATTTTTTCTGTTAAATTTATTCATAAATCCACCCAATAAATCATAAAGATAATCACGAACGATCAAATTGAAAGAAATATAATCGATTGCCATAAGCGCGTATTATGAAAATGCTTCGTTTTTTTTCCCCCTAGACAGAAACCGTGCAATTTTCCTTCTCGATTCTGTACGCATCACGGATTCTTTGTGCTCGACCACAACGGCTTTCTTCTATCCTTTTCGTCAACCCACACCTTCACAGGGTCATTTAACGGTTCATTTATAACTTAGGAACAACAACAACAACAACCCATCCGAAACCTGTGTTTCCCTCTCAATGGTGGATTCCTCCGAACATTATCAACAGCTCGTGGGAAGTCTCTTAAAGGGTGTGCACGAATGCGTGATCTGCTCCGAGGTCATTCTACAGGGCCAGCCCCTGTGGTCCTGTCCGTTATGTCGGAATGTCCTCCACCTGAAGTGTACCTCAAGGTGGGCCGTATCCCACCGCAATGAGGTGCGAAAGCAGTCCTGGAGCGCCTCGAACGGCCCGGAGGGCGGCTCCGAGAACAGGTTTCCCTGCCCGATGTGTGGCTTGCCGGTCCAGACAGGCACCTGCGCGGTGTACCACTGCTATTGCGGAAAGGTGGAGAACCCCGCGGTGGATTTGATGTTGGTGGTAGGGAGCTGCGGGCAGACCTGCGAGCAGCGCCGCGAGGATCCGAAATGCCCCCACTGCTGCCCCCTGCGCTGCCATCCGGGCATGTGCCCCCCCTGCAGCTCCACCCGCGAGGAGGTTTGCTATTGCGGGAAGGTCGCCAAGACTGTGGGGTGCTCCAGCATGGTCCACGGCTTCGAGTGCGGCCAGCCCTGCGGAAAACTGCTGGACTGCGGTCACCACCACTGCGCGGTGGGCTGCCATGACGGCCCATGCCCGATCTGTAAAGTGATGATCAACGAGCGGTGCTGCTGCGGGGCCACAACCCGCCGGCGGCGCTGCACGAAGGCGATGGAATTCACCTGCGGTAAGCGCTGTTCAAAGCTTCGGGATTGCGGCGTCCACGAGTGTGGGTTGCTTTGTCATGCCGGGGATTGTAATATCTGCCTCCGCCTGCCGTCGCGGCAGCATTCTTGTCCATGTGGGAAAACATCCATCACGGCATCCCGTAGCGCTTGCACAGACCCCATTCCATCCTGTGGGAAGCCTTGTGAGCTTCCGCTCCCGTGCGGCCACTTGTGCTGGTATACCTGCCATGACAATTCCCCATGTGCGCCCTGTAAAGAAATAGTCAAGGAGTTCTGCGCCTGCCGTAGTAAGGAATTTTCCTTTCCCTGCTTTTGTACGACCCTGCCGCAAGAGCAGTGGGCCGAGGCCGCTAGAGTAGCGGGTATTTCTGAAAAACAACTCCCAGTTAGCTACCCGCCGCTCTGCCTTAAAGTCTGCCGAAAGCAACTCTCCTGTAAAAAACACAAGTGCAATTCCATCTGTTGTTCCAACACCGATCACATTTGCACTGCGATTTGCCTCAAAAAGCTTCCCTGCGGTAAACATTACTGTGGTAATCTCTGCCATCCCGAGCTCTGTCAACCTTGCCGGAAGACATCCTACGAGCGGCTTTATTGCCGTTGTGGAGCCACGTTCATTGAGCCGCCGGTGCGATGCGGGGAGAAGCCCCCAGCCTGCGAGCGCCCCTGCATTATTCCTCGGCCCTGTGGCCATCCGGCGAATCATCGCTGTCATATCGAGAGCAGCTGTCCGAAGTGTGTGGTTTTGGTCGAGAAGTTCTGCGCCTCGCACGGAAATCCGATGCAATACAATTTGCCATGCTTTCAGTCGAACTGCTCGTGTGGTAAGCGTTGTGGGAAGGTCCTGCCGTGCTGCGGGAGGATTTGTATGCTGACTTGCCACGGCGGTGAGTGTAAACACGACTGTCCCTC